TGCAAAGGACTCTGGGAACTATAATCTAGCTATGAATCAGGAACAAAAGATTTCAGCCAGAATGCAAATTGTTTTTGTTACATAGGAACTGGAGCTGTTTAACTTTACTGGTTTTGTTTGTTTGTTTTTGCTTGAGACAGCGTTGCCTCATGCAGTTCAGGCTGTCCTTGAACTCACTATGTAGCTCAGGCTGGTCTCAAACTCACAGTGTCCCTCCTGCCTCAGCCTCAGGACTGCTGGGATATCAGATGTGCACCACCACGCCTACCTACTTTTCTTGGAAATAAATCACATAAAGAATGTGAGGGAAGTGAAAGGATAAAGTCGAATGAAGGTTAGGTGGGAGGAAGAATCTTTCACGTTATGGTTTCTGGAACCAGTCTAACTCAAACCAAGTGCTTTTCACAGACTGGAGATGGAAAGTTCTTTTATAAAGGTTACATCCTTAACTAAAAGATGAAGTGGAAAGTTGGCCCCAAACTACACTGTTCTGTGCCCGGAGGAACTGGAATTAATTTGAAATCAACTATTACTCACTCCGATTATACGTCGAGAGGGGAGAGAAGTGATTCCTTTGTCAGCAAGGTTACCCTGTGCTTTCCTTCCCTCCGCTCCAGCAAGTCACTGTAGCTCTTTTAAGTGACAGGCACTCAGACGCTGGGTATAGTCTCTCTGGCCACTTCCTGAGCTCCTTGCTGCTCAGCAGCTGGATCTCCTCTTTGCAGGGTGCCCCAAAGGAAGGCCTAGCCAGGAAGGGAGGTGAGTGTCTTTCTGCAGAGAACCACATTTTCCCATCTGCTTTCATCACACTGTGAGGACATCTTTCTTGAGGGAACAGGCTGGTGAGTTTTATTTAAAGTGTAAAGAAATTTCATTTGAGAACACAGCAACTTTTCATTTCCTCAGCATTAAAAGGATGAGAGCTAAGTTTTGTTTGTTTTTTCCACATGCACTAAAGCATTTTTGTGAAACTTCAAGAAAAAATCTGGAAACTGAATTCTCCTGAGATCAAAACTTTTCTAAATATCACATGTAGTGTTTGTGCAATTCCACACCTACGGGGAAGGTCAGGTCTCTCCCTTTTTCTGTTCCTGGCTCCTTGGCTCTTACTCCTGCCTCAGTACCTTCCGAAGTCCTTCTTTCCACCTCCCTAAACCGTAGCTGTTTCCTGTGAGAGACATTTGAAAAGTAATCTGTTTTGCTATTTTATTTGGTTTAAGTTCCATCTTAGAGCTATTAATGTGCTTTTTCCCCATTAAGTTCCTCCCCTGTGGTCAAGGAAAAGAGCGAGCTTTTTGCTCTTTAAATGAGACAAATTTAATCGGTTAATTTCATAATTTAGAATCTTTGTCGGTCTAGGTTTCAAAATGGAGAGGATTCTTTGAGCTCACTGCAACTGTTTGCTTTTGAAAGAGCCCTTTATTTTGCTGTGAATAACATTTCTCTTATAAACAGAAAATAAAAGAAAGTTTGGCAGGATTCTGCTCCCAGTGGGTGGAAACATCACGGGGAATTGAGAAATTGTTTCTTTTCTAGTGGGAAAACTTTGCCAATGAAATTTAGGATTAACGTCTTAAAACTACTGCTTCAACCATGAAAAAGCTGCCGAGGCACCAGCAGCTTCCAGGAATAGGTTTTCTTTCTGTGCCCAAATAGGAAATTGACCCTCAGTACAGGGGTATCTTAGTTACTTTTCTCTTGTTGCTGGGACAAAACACCTGACACCCAGAATAAAGGAAGGAAAGGTTTGTTTAGCTCACTGTTTGTCGAGGTTTCAGTCCATAATCATCTGACTCCAAGGCAGGGTGACATGGCACCGGGGCAACACTTTAAGACAGCAGCCAGAGAAAAAGGGGGAACCAAGCCTCTTTTTCTCTCTTAAATTGTATATAGGCCACCCCTTCCCCAAACCTGGCTCCAGGGGAGGTGTAGCACTCACAAAATCTCCTTGCCTCCTTTGTACAGGATGAGAGAGAATATTTACAAAGTAAGGCTGGGGCTCCCTGCTGATCCGTTCAGTTAAACTTCTAAACTTCTCAAGTTAACATAATGTATCAACCATAACAAGGGGCTACTTTTGGTGCCTGAACATCTTTGGGCTCTAGAATTTGGGCCACTCTATTTTGGCTCTTAAAACCTGCCATTTTGTCATCTGACATTTGCCTGTGTTAGCTTGCTTTTTGTCACTGTAACAGAAATAACTAGATAAAAAATCAGCATATAGAAAGAAAAGCTTTCTTTTTGGCTAACAGTTTAGGGGATTCCAGGCCACCCTTGGCTGGTACATTACTCCTGGCTTGCGGGGAGTAACACCTCATGGTGTGAGCATGTGGGGAATGTGGGGGAGCAAAGATGGCCAGGGAGCAAAGAGAGTGCCAGGAGTGTGGCATTCAGCACAGGACATTTGGGATCTGAACTATCGCAGTCTTGCCATTTTGTCCACATTTACACCGTCTCTGGAATTCATGCACTGAACCATTGTTCTTATTTTGACCCCTAAATTGATTTCCTCTCTGCATTCCCCGGAGACTTAACAAGCAGCATCACTACAGGAGCCGTTATCTTACCCTGGCTCTTCCTCACACCCCTCACCTGGCAGTCAGTCATCTGCCGCTCCTTGCTAGTACGCCTGCTAGCACCTCGCTCAGGCCACAGTGTTCTCCTATTTGATTTCCCATCAATCCTCACAACCATCTCTTATGTAGTTTTTCTCTCTCATAATCCGAACTCTACTCTGAAGCCAAAGCAATTTTTTCTAAATTTAATCTTCATCATCTGAATTCCTAAGATAGATTTTTCTTGCCTTTTTAAAAATCTCATCACAATTTTTACTAAAAAAATCCAAATGATTGACTCAGCCTTTCTTTGTTTCTCAGTTTTTCATGATCTGTTTATACTCACCCTGTGTATCCTGTGTTATGGATCAGATTTAGACTGCCCCCCAGAAGGCCTTTGGAAGATGCTTGGATCATGGGGTGCCATGATGACTCATCGATTGAGTTTACTGTTAGGGTTCGGGGTCTGGTCAGAAGAGACAAGTTACTGAGTGTGGCCTGGAAGGGTGTATCTCCCTCCCCAGACCCTCTCGGCTCTCTGCATTCTGATAAAGCAGGCCTAGGCCCTTCCTTTCCACCTTGCAGTTTCTGTCTTTGAGTCTGCTAAATACAGACTGAAACTTTGTAACTGTGAGACAAAATAAAACTCCCTTCCTAAATTGTGGATGTGGGGCATTGTGTCTTTTTTTTTTTTTTTTTTTTTTTTTATTTAAGAGGAAAAAGAGAAAAACACAAAACAAAACAAAGCAGTGTAAGGTTACATATAATACAGAACTACAAAAAAAAGCATAACAGTAAGAAATCACCTGTTAATAGATTACATATTATCATCTTGGAAATAGTTGGGGCATTGTGTCTTACTGATGAGAAAGTGACTTCACAATAACTGGACAACTCATGGTGAGCACAGATATTCCTCTAATTATGATTCAATTATGCCCTGATATACTCATTCTAAGTTGAAAATATCATACATCAAAGATGCTTTTATTGTACCTGATCTACTAACTAGCATAGTTTAGCCTATCGTACCTTAAACATGTTGGGAATATTTTTATTAGTCTATAGGTGAGCGAAGTCCTCTAACACAAACCTGCTTTGCATAAAGTATTAAATGTATCCTTTCATTTACTGAAGACATGATGGCATTCTCATTTAACTTTGGAAAAGGTAAACCAAACAGAGATTAAAAAGTCACCAGTAGGAAATGTCCTCCATTTTGAATGAGGTTAGCTGTGATCATCAAATCCATGCCTTGCTCTATTTGAAGCTGCAAAGCTCACCATCTTCTCTGCAAAGGGCTCTTTTATTTGGCTTTGGGTGAGGTTAGGCTTTCCTCCCATCTTCATCATGCCTGGGGGGAAGCGTTCAGAGGGATGTGCATCAGAAGAGCCTGGCTTTGAAGGTGGAAGTCTGAGGCTGTAGGAAATGAAGAAACCTTATGCTTAAACCTGGGAAAAAAGTGAAACAATCTTCATAGCAACTTCATAAGGCATCTTTGCACACATAGGAGTTCTTAAATACTGTTTATCTTAAATCCCTTCTCTTTCTATCTAGCTTCTTATCTTTACTGTCTGTAAAAATCACTGCAGAACTGAGATGATTGAAGAGGAGCATAGTGATTTATTTGGGTTCCATTCTCTTTATCTCATATCCAGGGGTTTTCCTGCTGTGCAGAATTCATGTTGAAACCAATGGACATTACCTAAAAGGGAACAGCTGGGACCCAATAGACATTTCCCAGGGACAATCTTCACTAGAGACCTTCTGTCCCAAACACCTGGGATTTTTTCCTCATACATGCCTAGCAGAGCCTTGTGTTGTCAAAGGCCTGGGGCTGTGCTTGCCAACCACCATCACACTGCAAGCCAGTAGTGAGGATCCATATAGAATTAGGAACCCAAGTGTGTTGCTTTTGAATTCACCCCATATGTCAGCTCTCCCATGAGATTTCCTGGTGTGTGTGTTTTCTGTCCACCTCAGACCTGTTTTCCCCCATTATTTTCCCACATGGCTCTGGTGCAGAACCATAGTTCTTTATCAAAAATGTTGTGAGTCTTTATTCCTTTCCCGGTAGATTCAGTAGTGGGCAAGACACTCTCCACTTGGGCAAGAAAGAAAATTAGAAATAAGGAAAATAGCACAGAACTCTTCACTCTGCGTTTTAGCATTTTTAAAAACAGAGTGCTATCTGTTTTCCAACTTGAACTTTCTTCTGTGTTCTCAGGGTGAGAAATAAGTCTTCATGCAAATATCCTAGGGTTGGTTTCCACGTGTTGGAAAGAAAGTCTTGGTTCCCAGTGTTTTTGTTTATTCATTTCTTCTTTAAGCTTTTCTTATTTTGGGTGGAGGGTTTGTTCAATTATCTGGTTAAGGATGGTGCTGACTGCCTTTAATATACACTTGTGTTTCGAAGTTTATTTTATGTTTTGTTGTGGTTTTCAGATTTCTCATGGTTTGGATTTGGGAAAGTAAAATCAAGACAAGGTGTTGGTAAGTAGTGCTTCCTTCTTTGGATAAGTCATGAGTTCCTCTTGTTTAATTCGGATGAAAGTGCTCAGATCCTGTTCACATTCCTTGGTCCTTGACCCATTTCCTATATTCCTGGCTTCTGATTTGTTGAAGAAGGAAATCTATTTTTTTTCCAGAAATGGTATTACTTTTGCTAATTGAGTTCAGTAAATGGCTTTGCATTTTCAGAGTTGGCTTGTTTTAACATGCAGAATGGTGTCCGTTGTAGACAGTGATGTGCTTTTTAGGTTAAAGACAGAAACTGCAACTATGCTGCAGCTCTACACGCTGTGCACTGTGGCTGCACTGCTGGCTTAGATGAGTTTGGCTCTTTGTTCCATTGGCCAAGGTGTAACAGGGCTCTGAATTGGTGAATCAGCTGCTCATTTGTGGCCATTTTTCTTTTAAAACTGCTTTTGAAGTCCAGCATTGTGATTTGTGCTTGATTACATCCCCTTCCTGGCATTCAGAGTATGTGCTGACAATTGAAAGGATGAGTTTGTAGCTAACCAAGTAATGAGACTGATAGAGCTCATCATTAGGAATGAAATCAGGTGTGACCCCAGGCCCCTCAATCTATTCAGTATTTTCTGTGGGTACAGAGACAACAAGTGAAGATTGTAGAGAAGGCAGAAGAAGACAGACTATTTTATATCACTCATGGGAGTTTCCGGGATCTGAGCATGGTGGGCAGTTTCTGTTGTTGGTTGGTATTTCTTCTGGTAGCAGAGTTGGTCATAAGTATGACTACAAAGAAAGGGAAAGCCATCTGCCCTTTACTTGTTTGTCCTATCTATGTAGGGAAACTTGTTTCCTTTCCCTTTTTTGAACCTAACATTAAACTTTGTTCTGTAAAGCAGCCTTTCTCAGTACAGCCCAGTGGGCTGAGCCCAGTCAGAAGCAGATTGACCAGATGGGGCCTGGAGGGGGAAAAGTCACCCAGACCCTGAGCAGCCCAAGAGATTCAAAATCAAAGCTCTTAACAAGGAAAAGAAAAGTGCAAATCTCAGCCAGCAAGACCTCTGGGCTGCTCCTTATGGGAGCTTTCAGACATGGCTGGCCAATTGTCTCTGCTCTGCAGACAGATAGCAGAGTAACTAATCCTGCCTGGGAGGCTTCACAGGTGTCCTGCATTAGGACTTGCATGGTGGTGGTGTTGGGAGGGAAAGAGAGAGAGAGAGAGAGAGAGAGAGAGAGAGAGAGAGAGAGAGAGAAGGAGGCAGAGGGAGGGGGAAAGAAGATGGAGAGGGAGAGGAGAGAGAGAGAGAGAGAGAGAGAGAGAGAGAGAGAGAGAGAGAGAGAGAGGAGAGCCTCCCACAGCAGTGCTGCACGATGGTGCCTTCTTCCTTCCACTTAATAGCAAATCCTGTAACCTCTTGCACTTTTTCCAAACCAATTTGCACTGCAGAATGTTCTTGTCTCTAGAAAGCTTCAAAATTACACTTTCACCCTTTTAGCCACAGCAGAAAGCATTCTTCAGGATGTACCACTATGACCCTGAGAGGCCATTTGTTACTCAGTTCTGGAGATGATGGCCACTGAAAATAGATACTGCTCAGTTCCCAGGAGGAGACATTTCCACCCACAGAGGGCTACACACAGGGCCCTGTAGCCTGTTGGGAGGCAGAGCAAGGACCAACACGGGTTCCATGAGAAGGCAGGGGCAAGACGGAGTGAGCATGCTTAGGATTGGCCATTGAGAGCCACTGCAGTGGATTCTGGGCACAGTGTCTCTCCTGCATTTTCAGGTACCTGGCCCTGAGCCAGCTAGGCTAAGTCCACAGTGGCTAGCATGTGAGGTCCAGATAAGAAAGGGCTTGGAGGGGCAGATTGTGTCTTGACTGAGAGATGCACTTGCAGACACAGTATTTACTGGCTTTAGCAACTGGCCAGAATCCCACTGTTAGCAGGGTCCCAGGTATCAAATCCTCAGAATAGAGAAAATAAAAGGCATGGTTAATACTCCTGCTCAAGAGTAGTAATCTATCTCTCCCCTCTCTTTCAAGTCTCGTTGGTACTGAGTCAATGACACTTCTTCCCCAGATGACCTTCTCCCTTTCTGGAAAATAAGTCTAAATTAAGCTTAGAAATGTCTAAATAGGAGTGCAGACTATGTAACCAAGAAACTCTGGTAAGAGAAAAAAATACCGCTTTATACCTATGATATATTAAAATAAAAATAGGTTGGAAGTGTTTCTTGGCATAACTCATATTTGTCAGCTCAGTTATTAGAACTATCTACTCCATACTCAGCGAGTATGAATTATATTCCGTGGTTAAAAACTTTGTGTTAACATCATGACACACAGTCAAGTCTTCATACGAGTTTCTTGTACCGTACCGTAGTGTGGTTTTGACTTTGCCTATCTTCTTCATGGGTGTCTTCCTGAGTACACATGCAGACCCATGAAGGCACATCTCATGGAGGGCACAGAACGATTATACAGACCTGCGTTTTTCCTGTGGGGAGCTCTTTTCGCCTCCTGACGTCGTCGCTGTGTCTGCATTACCTCATACCAAAAGGCTGGTAGAGGAAAGGGCTTACTTTCTGCACCCTCCTGTCTGGTCAGTCTTCCAGGTAGATGTTTTGGAGCATCAGTAATGAAGGAAACAACACTGGAATTAATACCTTGCATGATGAATTGCTGAGGGTTGTGCTGCTCTGATCTGTCTACAGCAACTTTCATTTTGAAAACTCACCTTTTGTGCTTTATATCACTTCTGTACTTAACCACTCCCCAGCTTCCTCACCAAACAGCTATTCCTTTGGAATCTTTTACATTGGAGTTAGGGATTTAATTGGAGAGAACAGGCAAGGACAACTCTTGATGGAGAAGGAGAAGCAGAGTGAGTCCCTTGGTTGGACTCTAGCAAGAGTACCTCTGTGTACTTGGTAATGATTCAGAGCCTGAATTCCTGAAGGAATCTCAAGATTATCTTGTGGGTGTCAACCTCCTTAGAACTGAACATTGCTGTAATGTTTGCATCCTGCCTTGGGCTGTAGGGTAATCAGTGATACACAAAAGAGGTTGATGCATTTCTAACCCTTCCTGAGACTCCCGAAAGGAATATTTCTGGCTTTCTTTACAGAAGGTGGTAATTCATGAAAACGACAACTCATACATTTTTGCAGGTAAAGATGGAGCCTAGAATCTGTTGAGAACTGCGCAACCTTCACTGCAGCTCCTATGGAAGCCATAGGTATAGTCTGCTTTGGTAACATCGCAGGACAGCTGCTCAAATGGGAGAACCACTGGCAGGGAAGCTTGATTGACAACATGCAGAAACCTTAGCACAGTGCATCTCCATTTTCCATCTCTGGCTAAAATCTGGGCGATCTAAGCCTGTCAGAGAGAAGATCAAAACAATAGGGATGGTTGGAGATATTAGAAAGAACTTGTTCTTGTAGCTATTCTTGGCAGAATTTCTGCTCTTTGCTAATACAGGTAAGCAAAGTTCCAGATGAGTATGGCTGTTAGGCTTGCTTTGCTTGAAGATTCTAAATTGGTTGTGTGACGACTTGTTTGCAGAATTAAGCAAGGGCATATCATTAAAGGCAACTTAAATGCACATTCTATTGAGAGAATGCTTGAAAATTTATCTATAATAGCAGTTGGCTTCCTCCTGCAAGATTTGTTTAAGACATAACTAGCTAGGGAATGTCCAATTGTTATCCCTGTAAACTTTGATAATCCCCATATGAACAAGAAATGGTCTTGGAGGTTGGGGGATGGATTATCATTGTATTGAATGGGGGAGTCAAAGTTGCATCATAGGTTCTGGCAAAACAGCCTTTGTCTTGAGAATTGTTATGTCTTTCACTGAAGTACTTAAGTGTCAGAGAAAAGGGAGAGAATGTGAGAAAGTACTGAACCACAGCTCCTTTGTGTGTGTATGTGTGCTGTGGGAGTGTTAAAACACTTCCCTTGCACAGGGAAAATTCAGATTTTTCCTTCCTTAGGATGGCAGTGGCCTTGGTTTCGCTCCTCTTTATCTACCTTCTCTATCATTTTCATTTCCCACCTTTCTCTTGACTTACATCAGTTGTCATGCTTGGGGATCTGCTTCTCAGACACATGTGTAAATGTATGTCTAACAGGATTTACCTGTTTTCCATGTGTGGAATATCTGCCATAAGTTATTTTAAGTGTTTTGAAGCTTAAGCATAAAGCTATAGACTGTAGATCTATTTTTGACTGTAAGTAGTAGGAGTTCAGTAGTTGATAAATAAATTGCTCAGACACAATATACAGTAGTAAATCTTGCATATACTGGCAGGACATGTAGTATTTTATATATATAAACACTATGTATGGTAGGTTAAATATGTATTGGCATATATGTTCTGGGGTTTGGGGTTGAAATAATTTAGATTTTGTATGAAAAAAACTCTGTGACTATTACTTTAATATAAAAGCATCCATGTAATAACTCTATAAATAATATTACTGATTAAAGCAAAGTACATAGCTTTACCATGGGGCCAACTCATTGTTATAAAAGTACTTTGTAAACAAAAGTGTCACAGGAATTCACAGAATGTGGAGGACAAGGAACATGGTAATAGGACAATCCAAAGTATTCTTAGTCCTGCAACTAGAGTGCACCTAACAATACCTAGTTGTAATTCATATGCATTGGGCACATTTAAATTTAGTCTCATTCCACTCCCGTATTACCTGTATTAGCAAAGAGCAGAAATTGTGCCAAGAATAGTTACAAAAATAGCAAGCAGATATCACTTGGCACATTTTACCATTGTAGGCACATGGAAAGGTACGAAGAAGATAAATGACTTGTCCAGAATGGAGATGGGAAACAAATCTTCAAGATCCTAGCATGAGTTTCAGTGCCCTGTGAAATACGGATCTAATTCATGCTGGGGGTATCAGTGAGTGTGTTCTGAAGGTGCTCACAGAGCAGAGGAAAGCTGAACACTAAATGACAGGAGAAGAAAGTGGAAAAATCTAGAGCCCTCATACAGCACTGGGTGTGTATGGAATATAAATGATGTAGCCTCTTTGGTAAACAATTTGGTAGTTCCTCAAAATGTTAAACACAGAGTTACGTATTCCACCCAAGAGAAATGAAAGCATGTATCCACGTACAACTTGTATGTGAATGTTCCCAGTACCATTATTCCTGATAGCCCAACAGTACAAATATCCCAAATATTTTCCCATGGATGGATAAACAAAATGTAGCATATCCATATAGTGGAGTATTAATTGGAATAAAAGGGAGCACATACTACAATATGGAGGAGCCTCAAACACATTATGACAAATAACTCTGTTTTAAAGGGAATATATGATATGATCCCAGTTATATGAAATTCCAGACTAGGTAAAGTCACAGAGCTGGAGAGTAAATTCAGGAATGCCTTCACTCAGTATGCAGAGAGTGGGGAATGAGTGCTAATCGGAGTGATGAAAAGGTCCTAAATTAGATTGTGTGATGATTGCACAACTCTGAATGCACCAAGACTCACTGAATTGTGTAGCTGAACTTGATGAATTTTCTGCACATGAGTTATAGCCCAATTGAAGCCACTAAATTATAAGAGAATATTTTTATTTTCTTGATATTAGGCCCGGCTTCCGTTATCAGCAATGATGACGACTCTGCCAGCCCGCTGCACCACATCTCTAATGGGAGCAACACTCCATCTTCTTCAGAGGGTGGCCCAGATGCTGTCATCATTGGGATGACCAAGATCCCTGTCATTGAGAATCCTCAGTACTTTGGCATTACCAACAGCCAGCTCAAGCCAGACACATGTAAGTACACTTGTTTATACTGGTCAGCCCCTTTGTGCTGCATAGCTTGTCAGTGAGCACTTTTATCTGAGCTCCTACGAAGGCTGATGGGGTCAGGGCAGTGAGATGTCTCAGGATTCCTGCTGCTTTCGGCCTATGGAGGAGATTTTTTTAGTTGCTGGCTTATGGAATTCACAAGAGTGTGTCTCCTGGTGGGATGAAAGCTCTGGGGAGACACTGACTTCTCTTGGGATCTATTTTCAAAAGCTTGGCAACATGAAGTTGGAATCAAGGCATGCTTATCTGGAGAAAGAGACAAAAACCAGAAGTATCTTTAGAATGTAGATACATCAGTTATAGATGAAAATCATTTGATGCAATTTAAATCTGGTTTATTGAAAGTAATTAAAATATGCAGCCTAGGTAGTGGAGAGGGTGCTGTGTTACACACAGATTGTATCAATTCGTGTAGTTCTGTGCTCTTCTTTCAGTCTGGGTTCCCAGCATCTGGCCTTATCATGATGCCACACCAGCAAGGAGACCTTGCAGCAGATGATGTGCATGTGAAATAGGCTGACATTTTTTCCATGCAAAATTAACTCACTACCCTCCCTTAGCAAGTGTAGGGTTTTTCTCAGGGTCCTTATTTTGTCTTCTAAGCCATTTCTGAATATAAAATTTGTATCACAGCTTTGAGGAAGACTGAGACTATAATACTATAGTAGAGAGGCAATCTCCTGCCATTGTACTCCAGCTTTCCCTTCATATGTAAATAACAGGCCATGCAGACAAGACATTCAGTGATCCAGATCCCAGGGCTTCCTGGCACTACGTATCTTCTATCTATTTGCAAGTTCTTATTCTGTCTTAAGTGCTACTCCCTTGCCCTGCTTCCAAGTAAGGTAAAGGTATTGCAAATTGAACTGACCTTCTGCTGAGAACGCGCACGGCATGTCAAGGCCTAGCAATGAGTGTCAGATCTGTTGATATATAAGGAAATATCTGTAATTTCTTCCTATTTTTTCTCATTTATCTTGAAGTGTGTTTACAGTTGGATTTGAGGTTAAGTGTGAGAAAGAACAATATTACAAATTTTTATGTGTGAAATGGACCTGCACAGATTTTAGTTAAATTTGTTATATGACAAGAAAAGTAGAAAGATATGTGTAAAGAATATTGAGATCTTTGAACTTAGTGGTGTTATTGGAAGTCAAGTACATTTTTAATTCAAATATTATTGTGGTGTAAACAAGATGAATGGAGGGATTGCTTAAAAGGAGCATTCTTTGATGAGACTGGCATCCTCTAGAAGCTCTTGATATGTTCTGCATGTATAGTGTTCAAACATGGAGGAGAACAAAACAGGAAGCCATGATGGGAAATTTCGTGATCTTTTGGACTGCTCTCCATGGGAACAGAGCTCTGAGTTCCAGGGTGTACTGCAACTGAGGTTGACTAAAATCAACATGCCCTTACAAAGTTTGCTTTCTTTTTCAACGGGACAGATAAATCTGAAAAATTAGCAGATACCATCAACCCAACATATCCAGTAAGAAAAATGAACAAATGAGTATGAAAGCAAAATAGCAAACAAAGCAGTAGGTGAGAACCCCTTAGAAGGAGCTGTGCTGGATGCTGTCAAGCTTGGTGCTATGCCAGAAGTGCTGACTTGTTGTTAAGAGTCCTAAAAGGACTTCTTCAGACATCGTCTCCATCAGCTTGAGTCCGTGGAGATTTTTGCAAACATTTTGGTAATTTTTAGAGACTCTTCAGCCACCCTGTGTCACCCCTGCTTAAAAGGAACTGGAAGAGAGTTGTAGAGACCAGTGGCCTTTCCCCAGCTTCTGGTCTCCAACTGACTGGACTAGAGAGCTCCCCTGACCATTTCTTTTTTAAAAAGTCCTCTGCTGGGCCAGTATTTGCAGCCATTCCTTGTTCCAGGAAAATTTGTTTTCAGTTACCAAGCATGATACACTCTTCGATAGTTTTAAGAATACTTAAATAACACACATCTTCCATGGAGACTTTTTCAAGGAGATGGAAATGAAGAAATTTACTTTTCTCCTTCCCTTCACCCTTTCCTAAATGTCACTATTTACCTCATAATTTTTTTCAGTTTTCCTCAATGCATCTGTCAGTTCTTGCTCAGCAATAAACATGAGTGCTCTAGTGTATGTGCCTGTGCAGTCTCATCGAGGTTAGGTTGTAAACTCCTGGAGAGCAGCACTGTCGCTGTAGAGCTTTTCTAGCATAGTGGGGCACATGCCGCTCCTTGGATGTTGGCCAGATGCTGGTCAAATGTGAGTATTACTGAAATAGCAATTCCTAGCAAACTTGCAACACAGATGACTCAGCACTTTTCATTGATTTTATTCCTATCAAATTTGATTGCATACTATTTGTTAGACATGCTTTTAATGCTAGATTATTGAATCTAAGCAGAGATAACAATTTTAGCAGAAATAAGCTTTTAACTAAAATTCATTCTTCAGATATGCTAGTTGCAGTCATCGATTAGTTAAAATATTTCAAAATGCACAGACCAGACATACAGAAGAATTTGTTGCTATAGGCCCATGAAAATTCGAGAGTTTTTTTAATTAAGTGATTTTCACTGAATACTTTTTAATAAACTAAGTTTAAATAACATTTAAAGAAGCACTTTTCCAGGAAGTTTGTGCAGGTGGTATCTGGAAAAAAGAGACAGTTTAGAATACTTCTCCGATTTAAAGAAAACTATAATATTTTTTAGTATGTTATATTCATCCTTCCAGATCCATCAGAGGCTTGGGTCACAAGTTGATGTGTTTACTGTTGCTACTCAAAGATGTTAACTTTAGAATATAGACCTTACTTTACAAAAGGTGACTTTCATTTCATTTCACTGAATTGTAATATTCTAACATAGATAGTATATTGCAATTCACTGATTATTTGCTGGTTATCTATAATACTTCTACAGTGCTAAGAACTGGGGATTCTACAGTAATGACAGTTTATTCCCTGCCTTCAGAGAACCTCATGGGGATGGTCAATATTAGGTAATTACATAATCTCAAAGCAGTGACTAAGCAGTGGGATTGGTGAGGTATGGAAAGGTCTTACATTCCCTTGACCTTCAAGGCTCTGGAAGGTCAACAGGAAAAATAGGTTTGGTCAGACTAATGCTGTAGAACACTGGAAGCACTATGGGAGCATAAGCATAATATTACCAAACTCTCCATTTTTCTGGAAAAAAGTATGGGTATTTATTATTTCATTTGAATTGCCCAATATTTAAAACACTAGGTAGGGTAAATCAGAATACATCAGGGTGAGTTAAACATTGTCCACAAACACAAGACAAAGCATGTTAATCTGCGTATTTGTGGTCTTCCACCTTATACCCTAAAACACTGTGCAACCGAAGTAAATGCTTTATTTCACGGATAATGCTCATAAGTGGCTTATTTAAAGTGATACAGCCTCAATACTCACAAAGCTCTGTTTAAAAAATAAAAACAACCTAATAGAAATGATCAAACAAGATTTCTTTAAGTAATGCATAAGACTGTTTATGTGAAGGATGATGAAAAATTTTGTCCCCCGCATGAAGTACTTTCTCACTACTGGGAGCTATGTACTAATTTTCATTTCTAAAGTCCAGAGATGGTTTGCAGGATTTTAGAGCAATCTGAATAGGGCTGAATTGCTCCCGAGCACTTTCCAATAGCAAGTTTGTCTACTTTATTGCAGGGCCCAGAGGTTCCCCCAAGACCGCCTGATAATAATTTGCTATTTGGAGGCTCCTGTGTCCCTGCAGGAACTAAAGGAGGCTAAATCCATGCCTGATGGAGGAGAAGAGTTCTATGGTTATCCGCAAATTCTGGCCAGACAACATCTTGACGTCACTCCTTAGCTTCTAAAATCTAGCCAAGCAAGAAGTTGCCTTCCAAAGACAAAGCAGTGTGCTCTATGACTAACCCCTCAAAGTGCTGTGCCACTTAACTGTAGACCATCTCCTCAACCAATCAGAATGGCAAGATGGAGCTGATGAGCTCAGCCACATCAAGTCTGGAGTTGGTCCTTAATCAGCCAGTCCGTTTAGACATGTCTGAAAACCATGTCATCTTACAACCTGGGCTGGTTTCCCAGTAGGATTTACAAACTTGGCTCCTTGACTGCTGGAAAAGGTTTTGACAGGGTACAATGGAAACACACCTTCTGATCTGAGAAAAACAAACACAAAACAAATATGTTAACCAGCAAAACTTCCATATCATCAATTTTGGGTTGACTCTTGAAGGGTGGGACTACATTAGATCCATAGACTTATTGGTGTTCCTAAAGCTGTGTCTTTTATAAGACAGTGTTGTAAATTAGTTAGGCTCCTAGGCCCTGGGCCTAAATTCAACTAGAATTATCTCAACATATGTACCTGTATGTATTTGTTCTTGTAGCACTTGCTTTCTGTGCCTACCGAGGGCTAGTAACTCCCTGTTGCACATGCATATAAAGAATTATGTTTTCCTCACTTTTATTCTGTTAGGAATTAAATGGGTACTTTCTGATTTCTTCCAGAATGTGCCATATTTCTCTTGGTATTAGTGAGTGCGTGTGTATCTTCCCACTGGTTACGTGCTTATTAGGCACTTACATAGGCAAGCACAGATTCATGGAACAGCTGGGAAATAAGGTGTTATAAAGGGAAGCAGAGTTTGAATGGCAATTGAAACTATTACACAGAAATTCTATCCTGTTCTTCTTGACTGCCGTGCCTACTTTGCCATTGTACTAGCAACAAAGGTAGGGAACATAGGTGATATTTTTCACAGAACTGCAGAGGTTTTGAACATATTTGCAAAATTATTTTGAGTATACATGACCAAAAATCTTGAATTACATACAAGGCCCCAGGAGCTCACTAGATCAAAGAACAGGAGTCCTGAGAGTTGTCTGAGGTTATTATAAAACTTCACTGAAAGGTCTGTTTTGGTGATCAGGAATAGGATTTGTAAACAGTTGGAAGCAATCACTTTAGC